ATTTAACTACTAACATTTTAATCAACAAAAGCAAATGTAGTAAAATAAACATTTTCATCTTACTACAAATGCATAAATTACATTTACAGTAAAAAAATCAATAATTTAATCAAATATTTTTCATCAAATGCTTAAAATAAAAATCCTAATATTATATAAAAAAAAAGAAAAACGTTACAACCTTGAAAAGAAAAAAAAAAACTATATATATATATATATATATATATATATATATATATATATATATATATATATATATATATATATATATATAAACTTATCATCTTAAACTTACTGTAATGAAGATTTGGAAGCGTAATCATTTTCTCGGCGCTTTATTATCTCCTCAATGTTTTCTTGTCTGAGAAACGCAACAACCTTTTCATCGTAAGCTAATATGAAATAATATAATTAACTTTTTCCACGTGATGACCTTTTTTTTAATTGTTTTTAACAAGTAAAAAGTATCAAAAAAATCTATAATACTATTTAATAACCTTACTTTTAGGCACTTCTATATCAGTTGTCGCCGATTCTGGATAAACAGGAGGTGGAGGAGCAGCTACGTTAGAAGATTGACGTCGGCGACTTAACGATCTATCATTTCGAGATGAGTTTGTTGAGTTCTGAAATAAGAAGCTCAGTTAACATTATAAAAACAATTTTTTCTTTGCAAAAGTAACTTTCAATAATTAATTAATTTATTAAATTCAACAAATACCTCATTCCTGCTTTTAGTTTTTGAGGAAGTCTCTTCAAGAGGCAAACGCGGATCAATAAATGTTGTAGAACGGCGTGTATGATCAACAAAATAGGTCTAATATCAAATAATTATACTTTAGTATTAATTACCGAATCATTATATTGAGAAGAAGAAAAGTTATTTTTCTTAAATCAATAGCAATTTTTACATAAAATCATACTTTAAAATAAAAGTTTAAGTTATAACTTTAAAATATGAATAAGCAATTTTACTTGTCCTTGTGAATCAGTCCTCATCTCCCATCCAGCAGGAAGTGGGAGCGAACTGTCAGCAAAGAAATTTAAAAGTGTGACAACATCTCGACTATGTTGATATCTAAAAAAACAAACACACATACCAATAATAACAAACAACAAACTTTTATTTTACCTATTTAAAATAATTTCTTACCACCATAAAAAAGAGATGTGTCAAAAAAGGTCATGAAATTTTTGTATAAAGTTCAAGCTTATTATAATTATCACAAGTAAATTCACAGTATTTAAAAAACAATTATTTCGTTAACTTTATTATTTACAAATATATAAATCAAAAATATACACCATCATTAATCATGACATGAACTTACAAAAAATTAATTCAAATTATAACTAATTGTAATTAAGTGGCAAACCAATTAAAACAAAACTTGAAATATAAAATAAACCTTAAAAACTTTGAAGGCTCGGCTCGAACTCTATTAATAATTTGCTTCAGAGTTGAATTTCGATGCAAAAATTGTCCAGCAAGCTAAATATATATATATATATATATATATATATATATATATATATATATATATATATATATATATATATATATATATATATATATATATATATATATATATATATATAATATAAATATATATATATAAATATATATATATATAATATATATATATATATATATATATATATATATATATATATATATATATATATATATATATATATAATATTTATAAATAAATACAAAAAACAAACTTAAAAATATTTATAAATAATTTAATTAAAAATCTATAAAACAAAAAGGCTATTTACATTATGACTGTTGACAAATTGAAAAAAATCTTTCCGCCGAATAAACATACAACCAGGATAAGCTTGAAATGCATTTGGATCTATTTGCGGTGAACTACGGGCAGTCGATGTTTCATTTGATGAAGATAAAACTGGTAAAATGTTACTAGTAGAAGGTGTTGTGGTTGTTGATGATGATAATGATGCATGCATTGGCTGTATTGATGAAAACATCGTAGCTATCGTTGTTGTAGTAGTACGGTCACTCGGTCGGTTTTCACTTGAACTCGAAACAACGGGTCGAAGATTTTCAGAGCTTGTTCGATTATTTTCAGAAATAGTAATAGGCTTCTCTTTAACTTTCTTTCCTCCCCGTATCGTTCTGCGTAAACTCTGGTACCTATAAAAATTGTTTAAAACCAGTTATCACAGTCTACTTATTGGAATCAGTCATTTAAAAAGCCGATAAATGGCGATTATTTCGTTTTGACGTTGGTGTCGAGTATCGAAGAACTTTTTAATTGTGTTGAGCTACGCTTAGGATTTTATATTTATTAGTTTTGCTTCATTTGCAAAAAAAAATTGTATACTAAGCAAGCATAAATTATTGCCTTTCCTCTCATAATTCCTTAAAAACGATACCTTCGGTCATATTGATCAAACTGTTCGTTCACATTGGCTTCTCTTGTTACCTCTGATGCTGTAAAAAACAAAACAAAAAACTATTTTAAAAGTAACTTTTAAAAACTTTTTATATTTTAGTGAAATTTTTTTTTCGTCAATAAAATTTGGTCTAGTATAGTCTAAAAAAGAAAAACATTTTAATCATTTTTTGCTCTCAAAAATGGTCACAAATTTTTATTATTATTATTAATATACGTTCTTATTCCACATTAAGCCAAATTTGATATACTAATCTTTGGCATTAAACGTTACGTCAAAGATTAGTACATCATTCATTACCACAAAAAAAACAAAGGTCTATGTGTACACACACACACACTTTCAAAAATATACATACATACATTCAGGGCTGTAGCCAGAGTTTTCACATATTCAATATAGCTTTTTCCCAGGCATGGTGTGACCTCCGAACATTTCTATTTTAATACTAGTGTCAAATGAGGATATGTTACAAAAAAACTACGGTAATTGGAGCTTGGGAATAAGAAGAACAAAAAATATTTCCCCCCCCCCCCACACACACACACAAACAAACACACACAAAACTCTTCGGGAGAGGGGACAGTATTTAAAAAATAAGTTTTTGAAAATTTAAAATAAGATTGAAATTTATTGACAGAATTTTAATTAACACATCCTCATTTGACAGTAGTATTAAAAATTGCACTTATTACATTAATGTTCACATAAAATATTAATGTGTATGTAAACTTTATACAGATTATAACTAAATAATAATTACTACGTAAATGCAACTAAAATAACGATGTGGTTATACAAAAACCAAACAAAAATAACACTTTTTGCCATTTTCACTTCAAATGTTGACTCTTTAACCAATCCAGTCATTTGAATTAAGTTATATAAGAACTTAACGATAATTTTTTCGGTTTATTGTTAATTGATGTATTTCGAGGCAAGAAAACAGAATTACGGGAAAAACAACACTCTCTCTATACACAGTGAGGCCTAAATCAGCTGGTTGAATTTCTATTAACTGTAAAAAATTTACAAAGCAGTCAAATTATAAAATGTATAAGATAAAATAATAAGTATAATATTTAAAATCAAAAAGAATGTTTATATTTTCATTTTTGAAATAATATAACCTCATGTTATATTTCTTAAAAATATAATGAGAGCCTTGATTTCATTTCAGCAATATAAATTTATAAAAACTTTATGGTATAAATTTCTTTGGAAATGCTAAACAGTATTAAGCAATTAACTTGGATAATTAAAAAATTGGACAGTTTTTGGGACCGCAAAACAAGTATAATTTAATATCGAAGAAAAAAGGTTTTTCTGCAACACATTTCATAACATATATACAAATATAGGTACAAATATAAAGAAAATATTTTTATAAATACACTTTTACTACTAAAACTGTCTAAAAAGGCTTATATTTATAAGAATATAAAGGATATAAGAATATAAAGAAAACGTTAATACTTTTTTTCCGTATTCAATTTGAAGTTTATAGAAAATTATGTGCACATCGTTTGAATTTTTAAGTACAATTAACAGTATCATATTTTCAAGGAAAAATTTAAATTTAATGGCGGATAGGAGAGGACTAAAAAGCCATGTTCAATTAGCGCTTTGATGCGTTGTTAGTAATTCGAAATCTGTAAACATTGAATAAAATCCATACATGTTCTTTAATATCTACTAAACACTCTATAAAAACAATAACGATATCACTTTTTGATTTCAAACAAGTACATCGAAAAAGTATAAACAGTTTAAGAGGTAACAGGGGGTTGATTTTCGACATCACAACCAATAAGAACATGTTTCGATAATTGTGAAAACCGAATAAATGTTTTACAACACTTACTACATTCCAATTTTTTGGATTCAAAATGCGTTTGCATATGAGCGCGTTGATTAGAACGATCAGCAAAAGCGCGACTACAATGTGAACATTTAAAAGGCTTCTCTCCCGTATGAGTTCTAACATGTCCTTGAAGGAGCCAAGGTCGGCTGAAGGCTTTTCCACACATGGGACATTTACAAGGAAGAGTGTGGGTGCGTATATGCATTTTTAATGCTCCAAGTGTCATGTAGTCTTTAACACAATATTTACACGAAAAGGTACGTGGAGGTTTGCCGGATTTCGATTTACTTAGCGTATCATTTTGTGATCTGCTGGCGTCAATTATAATCTGTTTAGTACTAAATAATTTTTCGTTTTCAATTTTATTAAAAATTTCTGGAACTTTTTGAATGTTTTGAGGAGGGTCATTGTGATAATTAAAATCCAAAATATCTTTTCCTCCCTCCAAATTTTTGTTTTCAAACTGAACTTTCTGAACATCGTGTACTGCGTCGTCGTAATCAGATGGATGCACTATGATAATCGTTTCCTTTTGATCAAAATTTTCTGTCAAAAACTCTGCTACTCTAGATTTAGATGATGCCGAATATCGATTAGATCTATCACACATGCTAACTTGATTACATTCACCCAAAAAAGTCTCGACAGAACCTTTTCTATTAAAATCTAATTTAGAAAACGCATCGTAAGATTTACTTAAAAGTCGACTATTAGGCGAATACGCGCGCTGCTTGTGTGCGTTGCGGCTAAGAAGAAAATTGTTGCAACATTGTCGGTTCGTATATAGCCGATCAAAACAATCTTCGCTGGATGTTAAATCTTTTTTAAATCCCATCTTATCTATATGATCATCTAAACCATTCGAATGATAAGTACTTAGAGAACCTAAAACAAATTAGTTTTTAAACGAAACTTTTTAATAACTAAAACAAACGAAACAAAATAATTTTAAAGTACTTTTTTCTTAAAAATACTGAAAGAAAATAAAACTTACGAAATCTAGAAGCATTAGGCAATCTGTTGCTACTTTTTTCAAAGAACTGCTTTACCAAAAATGAACGTGGCATTAGGATATAAAGCGGCTTTCGAATTTAACTTGCAACAAAGATTTTGTTAATATTAAACCTGCTAGATAAATAAACGCGAAAGACGCAAGACGTAAAACCTGCTAGCAGAGAGATAATAATTTAATCCCCCTGTTTAAAATGTACGTACAATAGAGCCTTTTGACAGATTCCATTAAAAAAATGTTTTGATTACAAATTATAAATAAAGCGTCAGCGAATTAAAAATAACAGGTGTGACGCGTTAACATCTTTAAAAGATAGTTTAAATCAAATGTAGTGTGACAAACCGGGGGTAAAAAATTGCAAAAAAAACCTTATTTCTTGACACTAATTGTTATTTTTGTCATTTCTAAAGATCAATTAAAACCGAACGCAAATAATTCGTGCTTTTTATAAATGATAAATATGCACGTGTTTTCTATTGTTTCACTTTACTGTGTAGTTAAAAAGTCAGTTAACCAATCAATAAAACGTATAAAAACAAATCAGTCTTCAAACGTCAATAAAAGAATTATAATACGTGTGGAAGTTTTTTTTATTATTTAATTTTAATATTTCGAAGAAGTAGTGAAGAGACAACATTCAAAAAAATGCTGAAATCAATACAAAAATATAAATGACTATTTGCAAATAGAATTGCAAACATGGTTAAAACGAAACTTTAATCCACTATTACATGCGGAATTCTTACAAAGATAAAAACATTTTTTCTTTAAAATAACGAGATAAACATATCAATATAAGTAAACATGACAAAAAAATTTTTTAACTTAAATAGAATAATATAATTCAAATTATTTATCATTTCAAAAACAATTAAAAAATAAAACTAAAAAAAATTAACTCCAAAATATCGAGTAGAAATTTAAAATAGATTTTTTCATATATGAAAGAGGTTCTCGGCAAGTTTATATATAACCCAACTTCTAATCACAAATAGAAATTTTTAATTGTTCCACCGGCAATTATTTCGACAAGAAATTTTAACATTAGGAAAGAATGAATTATAAATGCCTTAATTATTGAATAAACGCAATATCTGATTCAAAATGTTTTGTGACAAAATTGTATTATATTTAAATGAGCACTAATTATTACAATTATTAGTGCAATACAATATAACAGAAGTTTTATTTACAAATTAAAAAAAAAGACTAAAACAAATGAGAGAGTAAATTAACCCGTAGCAAATTTATTAATAAGGGAATACGACATGATATTTCTTTGAGTTGGAAAAGTCGGGGCCGGTGTGTTTTCAATTTACTACATTTAGAATGGGTTGCTCTAATAACGTTAAAAAAGTAACTACAAGAACAGCATCAGAAAATGTCAGCCTAGAACGGCATCAAAATTTTTAACACTTAAATAATAGCAAAAGTTAATAACGTTAAAAAAGTAACTACAAGAACAGCATCACAAAATGTCAGCCTAGAACGGCATCAAAATTTTTAACACTTAAATAATAGCAAAAGTTAATACTGAAAATTATGGCCTTAAATTATTGCGATACGTAGCAATGAATTAAAGTGTTAGCTTTATTAAAAATAAAAATTGATACAATTTTTACAGAAACTGGTTCTAAACTCCTATTTGCAATCATCCTTCTATTTTAGAAGAGATTCCCATATCTAAATTAAGGATATACGAATTTCACTAAAAGTTTAATGAACTTTTAAATTGTTACAGAATTAGAAATAGAAATTCGAAGTAAACTTCGTAATACGAAGTTTAACGAATATTCGCCGGTCCTTAATCTAAATTAAGGACTTACAGTTGACTCTCGATATCTCGACTACTCGATATCTTGAGCTTTTTTCTCGAACTTTATTTTCGGTCCCATGCGCACTCATTTGAGCCAAAATCCTCCCGATATCTCGAACTTTTTTTCCGGTCCCCTGAGAGTTCGAGATACCGAGAGTCAACTGTATTGCTAATTCTAATATCTTTTAAAAAAGGAACATTAAAAGGCCCAATCCATGTTTGAACATAAAGAACATAAAGATTTTATCGGCACTTAAAATACTGAGTTAAACAAAAAACTAATCCATATGCATAATGCGGAATTTGATTAAATCTTTAATAAAGGTATAGTTAACAGGAAACACAAGTGCACAAATCAAGAAATCTGTTCAGAAAAATGAATATTTGCTTGCGTATCTAAAGCAATAGTCCAATTAGTTGAGAACTGGGCAATCCTGAAAACTCGACAGAATAAAGGTATAGCTCAGAGATAGCTCAAATACAGGACTTTTACGGCAATTCTCTCCCGTAAAAGCCTTTTAAATGTGCACATTGTAGTCGTGTTTATACCGATTGTTCTATTTAAATTATACCTCAAAGAAGAGTAAATTCATAAATCATGTAAAAGGTATTAAAAAAAAATCGTAAAAAATAAAGACGTTTACGTTGTTTAGCTTACAATTTTACAAAAGAGTGAAGGTTAAAACGAACTTTAACAAAGTCTCTAGAATGGCGATTTGTAATTCATTAAATAGATTTTTAAGCGAAAATATAGATCTTTTTATAAGCAGAAAAAATGTCACTTTTAAAATAGAAGAATAGAAAAAAAAAAAACATATAAGTATATTTAGAGTACAAGACGGAATCTGACGCTCGAAGGGCTTGAAAATTTTATTACCATGATTTTTTTAATTTCTTATTCCAACACAATAATCTAAAATTCACTATATTAATATGTTAGGAAGTTCATTAAAATATAGAATACATATTGATCTTTTTTTGACAAACATATGAAATTTTTAAGAGGTTCAAAAATGAAAAGATAAAAAGTTTCAAGAAGCACAAAAATATGCTTAAACTTAAGCATATTTCTAATACGATATACTTATTTCAATACTATATCTAAAAAAAGACACTGTTTACAAAAAAAAAAGATTTAGTCAAACTTAAAACATACATTTTGAAAAATGTTATATTAAATAAACTGCACAGTAAAAGACTACAGACAGAGAGAAATAGAGAGAGAGAGAAAAAGAGATGTAACACTTCAAAGCTCTTCTTTCCGAAGAAATTAGTATTTCTATAAACATATTTTTACTCACTACTCTAAATATATATGGGTTTGATTTTTACAATACAATGATTTCATAAATTCATTGCGTTGCAAAATCATAGCGTTGCACATAAACCTGTATGATTTTTTTCTTTTGTTGATTAAAGAAAAATATTCAAAATTACCTAGGTATGCTTATAGCGTAATACTTACAAAAAAAAAAACATGTTTGCTTAGGGCTTTAATTATAAAAATTCGATTATCATCGTGAAATTTATATATTTAAAATATTCAAAGTTATTTAATTGCTAAATTTAGAGTTAGCAAAATTTTTTCAAATGCATTTACAATGAAAAAAAAAGAAAAAAAAATTCTAAAAATTAATATAACAAAGATTTTTTTGTGTCCAAAAAAGATTGCGATACGCAAAAAGATTTTTTATATTTTCATTTATGATGTCAAGATTTTGAATTTTCTAAAAAATTTTGAATTTTTTTCTTAGTTATTAAGGTGCTTCAAAAAGATCGAAACTTCGCGGTGCTCTGAGATAGGACCATTAGGTATAACAGAGCACCGCGAAAAAAATATTTGATCATAAAGTTCACGCCTCCTTCCTTACCAATGTTGCTAATTGAGCTAGAGCCAGTCTTAAATTACGAACCTCTTAATTCTGAGCCAGAACTCTAACCACTGCTCTACGGCTGCTGAAATCTCACTTAGCAATTCTTAAAAAAAGAACTTTTTTAACGAAAGTATTTTAAAAGATTTAAGTAGTGCTCGCTAATTTTTAATGTTCAGTGACTTCCAGGAGAATGCTTTTTTTAAAATGAAAAACAAAATGAAAAAAAAAAAAAAAAAAAAAATGAAAGACTTAAAAAAAATCACACATTCTTTCGTACAAATGTATTGATATCGTTGTCAGATAGTGGGAGTGAGGAGAAAAATTTTAATGATTATCATCTTTATTTAAATATTTCATAAAATTAGCGAAGGCGTGTAATTTTTTAACTACTTAAAAAATAGTTTTTCAATAGAATATAAAATTCCATAATCAGCAGCAAAAATCCGTTTAAAAAATAAAACATTCTATAGCCAAGTATTAAATAAGTCAAATAAAAACAAAATACGTTCTTGTAAATATTTTTTATTCGGAAATAGTCTGAAATATAAGTTACTAACTTAAAAAAAAAACTAATATTTAGAAACAAAATTTATCTCAACTGCTTTATTTAATTAAAAAAACATAATAATTAAATAAAATTAAGAAGTTATGAAATATTTTTCAAGAGTACGTATTTAAACTATCTAGTTTAAAAGATCTAGAAGGTGTGTGAGAATCTAAAACGCCAAACTAAATGTTTTGAACGCTTTCGAGGTCGATTTTATGTTAACTAGAGTTTTTTTAATATTAATTTTTAGATACCGTAACGCGGGGAAATCAAGCACCCGATATCATATTCATTTTAGAAGTCAAATAAAACATTTAGCACCAATGCTTAGTTCATTTTCAAGCTAGAAATATACTTAAAGTAACTTTAAGAAAATATAAGTTGTTAATTACAACTCTTTTGGCTGAAAATAACCGATAAAAAACACCCAAGGGTAAGCAATTGTAGTTAAAACTTTCTTATATTTTAGAATTTTCTCTTGTATACTATACATATATTGGATTTAACTTGTACAAATTTTTAAGCCTTATATATGAATTACTCATAAAGTATAGGTGTTTAAAGTATGGTACTTTTATATGGGGTTATTAAGCACCTTTTAAATTAATTTGTTTTTATTATTGAAACATTTATGATAATAAAATTATTATTTAAAGATACATAAATTTGAATTTTTAGCTCATATTTTTTCCTTTTATATAGCATATTTATAACATTACAAATTGTGACAATGGTGAGAAACTATTTAAAATTAAGTTAAAAACAGCCAAAAATTTACATAGATGGATAAGTGTACTTAAAAGGGTTATTGAACTTGTTAACGATAGAGAACCTTGTAAACGTGTGGCAAGGCTAATAAACTACACAGCAAAAGTAGTGCGGTGTGTCACTAGAGTTCGCTCCCACCAGACGAGGAGAGGTCAATTGCACAA